TAATCTTCATGAACGATTTTCACATGCAACTGATGCAAATCACNCTTCTATATGCAGATGACACTAACATCTTCTTCCCAACTAAAGACCCATTGAAAGAAGTAGAAAACATCAATAAAAGTCTTCAAAATATATCAACCTGGTTTATCAAAAATAAATTAATAGTAAATTATTCTAAATGTAATTACATTATTTTTGGTCCGAAAATTTTAACAAATATTATACCTAACCTAGACATAAAAATGAACAATATTTCTATTCCTCGCTCAACCAGCACAAAATTCCTTGGAGTAACAATCAAGGACAATCTGTCTTGGGATATTCACATAGATACTATGTCTAAAAGAATATGCAAAACCCTAGGAGTTATAAGCAAAATTAAAAATAAATTAAATAAACCTACTCTAATTGACCTGTATTATTCGTTAATCTTTCCTCACCTCATCTACTGCAACGTAATTTGGGGAAACAGTCCTGACATTCATCTAAAACAGTTAACAAAATGCCAAAACCGATTCATCAGAATATTTAAAAATCTTCATCCTCATTGTCACACAAGTGAATATTATCTCGAGATGAAAATACTCAACATCAAAAACTTGTTCATCTACCACGTTGCAACATTCATTTTTAGATTTCTACGTCAGCAATTGCCGGCATTTTTTAGAAACTTTTTCACTTTTGGAACTTCCATTCAAGCAAGAACTACACGCCACACGCCACTTTTCTATGCTCCACCTTCCAGAATTAAAGTACTCTGCATGAGTTTGAAACATACCGGCCCAGGAATATGGGAGACGATTCCACAAGAAATTAAAGATTGTAACACTTTGCATCTTTTTAAAAATAAACTGAAAAATTTTTTAATTACGAAAAGTTCTGTTTTTCAAGGATAATAATGTATATGTATATATATGTATATAAGTGTGTACATATTTCATTAACATTGATACATTTTCTCCTATTGACAATTTTATTTTATCATTGAGAAGCAATTTTGAGCTGCACGGTGGCCGAGCCCACAAGAATTAATTTTCTTTTTTTGGTCTCCGAATCATTCATGCTTTTGTTTTGTTTGATTGAATAAAAGTGATTTGATTTGATTTGATTTTGACTTGTTGTAAAAATCGTATTTTTTGAATAATCTGAATTAATATTATTTTAAACAATAATTTACTTATGTTTCATTGTTTGTTTACATGTTGAAAATTAGGGATAAAAATTTTAATTAATTCGGCGCAATGGTTTTGAAGAAAATGGGTTATACCAACAGTTCCTATCATTTTGAGCCGCACTGTATTGACCAGCAATTATTTATTTATGGTTTATTTAAATTTTTATTGATTCCTACTTATTTAACTCATTCAAGTTGATAGATAACATTGGTTATTTGTTAGGTTCATACATTGGACCCACTCTTGGAATGATCTTTTCTGGATTGCTCACCTACTATTGGGGATGGGTTTTTGTCTTCTATGTTCATGGTTAGTTGGTTGATTGATCGGTTGGTTGGTTTTTGGTTGGTTAGCTGGTTGGTTGGCTGGGTTGGGTGGGTGGCTGGTTGGTTGGTTGTTTGGTTGACTGGCTGGTTTGGTGGGTGGCTGGTTGGTTGGTTTGTTGGCTGGTTGGTTGGCTGTTTGGTTGGCTGATTGGTTGGTTAGTTGGCTGGCTGGTTGGTTGGTTGGTTGGCTGGTTGGTTGGTTTGTTGGCTGGTTGGTTA